TAATGGTTTTTGTCATTACTGGTACTGCAATTACTTTTGCACCAACCTAATAGAAATGTTTGCTCATCTTGTGGAATACTCGTAAACCAAGTTACTCGCAATCCAAGGTTTTACTGTATGTATATATATATATATAATATACATATAATATATATATTAAAAATGTGTATACATGTTTTTGGCTCTCTCTATATATATATAATACATTATATATATATATATATTGAATATATATATATGAATATTATTCAGCTATGAGAAAGAAGGAAATTCTGCCATTTGCAATGACACGGATGAAACAAAAGGACATTATGGTAAGTGAACTAAGTCAGACAAAGACAAATACTTTTTACATACATACAAATATGATCTCATATGTGGAATCTTAAAAAAAGACTAACAACTCACAGAAACAGGGTGGAATGGTAGTGACCAGGGGCTGCGGCAGGGGGAGGTAGGGAAATGCTGGCCAGAGGGTACCAGCCTTCAGTTATAAGATGGGTAAGTCCTGAGGACTCTAAGGTCCAGCACGGTGACTATCATTAATGCACTGTGTGCTTGAAATTTGTGGAGATAGATCTTAAGTGTTCTCACCACACACACAAAAGGTAACTATGTGAGGTGATGGATGTGTTATTTAACCTGATTGTGGTCATCACTTCACAAAGTATACGTACATCAAATCATCACATTGTATAATTTAAATATATACAATTTTATTTGTCAATTACACCTGAGGAAAGCTGAAAAAAAATTAAGTTATATGAGGTTTTACCAAAGAAGCTAAAGAATGATTACTCATCCCTATAACATTTCGAATAGAGGGCACTGAGGCCAGTTACCGCTATTTATCTGCTGCTCATTTTTAGTATGTTCTAGTCAATTGGTATATAGTCAATAACTTTTAATAAACAGCTATGGTGATTCTACCAAATTAGGAACAGTAAGGGGATAAAATAACTAAAGTTACTGTCTGTGCACTAGAATTATTTATAACTTAGTGGAGGAGAAGTGATATATAAAGCTGATAGACAGAATCAATCATTAGAGCAGATATATTCAAATTACAGATTCAAATGAGCCAAGAGATTTAACCTGGAACATCACCACAAAATCACAACTTGACTTGGCAACATTTATTCATGCATTTCTCATTTATAAATTAATGAAAAGCAGATTTTTAGAACTAGTCTCTGGAATAAAAAGAACCCAAGGTCTCTGTCACTCACTAGCTCTTAGAAGTTCAGCAAGTTACCCAAGCTTTCTGTACCTCAGTTTCTTCCTTCATAAAATAAGGGTATAACAGTGTCTACCTCAGCAGGTGAAGATTAAAAAAGATAGTGCAAGTAAAACACTTAGCATAATATCTAACACAATATAAGCCGTTATTATTCTTTATCAAATATTTATTAGGGATTTAATAGGTAGCAGACACGTTATGCCAAGAATACAAAGATGAATCAAAGAACACTGAATGACTAAATCACCTGCGAATAATTCTACCAAGGTAATATTTAAAGCAGATGTATGTAACTTGTACGTTCAGGTTTCTATGACTTGTAAGTTAATCATGAATTCTGCCAAATTCTTTAAGTGTTGAGAATAAGAATGATTCAATGTTGAGAGGGCAAGTAAAAGAACAGGCCTACAGTAGACCTTTTCAAAGAGAAGAAATAGCCTCATTGTTCTTATTAAAAATATAAGGCAATCTCACATGTGACTTATGAAGAAATCTCTCAAAACTGGTAGCTCTTAGCACCTAGAAAATTATTGGCTTAGAGTTTAGGCTGTTCAAGCAAGGCTAGTCCCTGTGAAGATATATTTGAGCATAAAACAGGAACCACCTCCAATGAAAAACACAACTGCCTTAAATGCTTACATGCTACCCGGTTCTTCGTTATAGAAACAAATTACAATATGCAAAATTAAAAGATATTTCTTTAGTGGAAGAAAAAAAAAGTATGATATATGTAAAACTGTATTTGTATGTCTTTGTCTATATAGAGAATGCTCTTTGTTGTTTGTTTTCATTTGCGTAGAACATTGAAATAGCACATACAAGACAAGAGAAGTAACATAACCCATAACAGGTCTAAATGCATATATGGAACTTAAAGCAATGTGTCAATGTAGGAAAACTGAGCTGAAAATATCTGACAGACATTTTTCTCATCCACCTTCTCACATCTATCCTAAAGCTGATAATCAAAATCTTTAGCAGAGGGGTCAGTATTTTTAACAATATCCCCACATATCATTGTAAATAAGCACAGACTATTACTGGATCACAAATATTTATTGGATGAGTATAAAAATAGTATATAGCTAACTCTTATACCACATAATATCCAGAGGCACTTTGCTCCACCTTTTTACGTATCAACTCACTAAATCTTTGCAATCATCATATGAGCTGGGTTCCATTATTACCCATACTTTAGATATACGAAACAGGCACTGAAAAAATGAGTACCTTGCTCAAGGTCATAGAGTGAAGTTCAGTTTCCTCATTTGTAGGTAGTAAAAAGAGCAAAAATGCTAACAGTGCTTTACCGTGTACAGGGTGATCTAGAGTATATTTTTCTGTCTAATCCTCAAAACACTCTTAAGGGCCATAATGATGTTACTAGCATGTCTGCTTCATAAATAAAATCACTTCAGAAGTGTCACAACTAGAGCTCAAAGCCAGGTCTTCTGACCATGTTCTCATTTTCTTTCCAGTCTCATTTCAAAAGTTCCTTTCAATCCCCATGTTCTATAATCCTGTGAAATTGCAGAACTCTTTCATATATAAATATAGTTTATATAATATTTCTATATCAAGCCCTTTTCGGAGTACACTACATATATTTTAACTCTTTAATCCTCACAATTCCATGAGTAGGTACTTTGTACATGAGAAAACTGAGAAACTGACTGGTAAATCATTTGTTCAGCAAAGTATTTGCACAGCTAGCAAATGGTAGGGCTAGGATTCAAACCCAAGGTAGCCTGACTCCAGGAAGTATGCTCTTAACTATTACAATGGCTCCAGGTACCAATACATTATATGGTTTCACAGGAAAAAGTCAATCCTAAGTGCTTTATATTTCTGACTTGAAATACAATTTAAAAGGTGAGGTCAATCAATCAGTCAATACATATTTATTGAATGTTTGCTTTGGATAGGCATTACATTAAGCACTACTAAGAATATAAACAGGTAGAAGCTGTATCCCTGATCTCAAAACGAGTTAGCTGTGTAGTTGGGGAGAACAGATCTACACACATAAAGTAAACCTTCAACAAAATTGGGACAGTCAATGTTTATTGATTCACATACAATATAAAGTATCAAATGTGTAACACAGATAATGCACAGAAAACCGTCAAGACATGAAATATAAAACCTAAAAAAAATAAAAATAAACAGAGAAGTCCTGCAGCTTAAACCCAAACTAAAATAAAGGTGGATTCTTATGAAAACAGGATCCTTTCATAGAGAAATACAAAAAGCATGATTTAGTAATACATTTACCCGAAACCTCATCAATCCTTTTTTTCAATTACATTATTCTGCATTTTAGCTCAATATTTGGAGCAACAGAGAAAGAATACGAGGTGAAAAATGACAATCTTTTACATAAACCTGAATTCTTTTAAACATCTGATTACTGAAGGGTTTTCTACAGAATTTAACGAAATGCCTAGTTGCCAGATGACAAAATATGCTGCATTATTTCTTGAAAAGATCAGCACTTTGTGTCTGCAGTACTGAGGATAGCATAATGTACTATGCAATGTCCAAAAAAACATGCAGCCTAGCCTTCCGGGTCAAGAATATAGAATATTCTTGAGGATACTCCTCTTACAGTATCCTCCTCTTGATGGGGTTTACAGTATTTACAGTATTTATATGATAAATACAGGTAGGTCCATTAGAAACAAAAGTAAAGGAGGGGTGACTGTTGGATCATTCAACATCATTAGTAAACGTCCTAATTACTCATTTTGATATTAATGTTAACTGTGCAGAGGGTTAATTAGATTTGGATAAGATACAACAATGCACATAGGAAAAAAAATTCTAATCATACTGAGAAAAAAACTGAAATGAGTCACAGTTGGTCATGTAAATTTACTGTAAAAGATATATGCTCATAGGAGAAACTTCTGTGTCAGGAGGCAAATAATCGCACAGTCTTTTACACCGCAGGGCTTTTTTCATATAAAAAAACATGTAATAAGCACTTACCACTATGCTAGGCGCTAGCTATAGAAACTTAGGGGGAAAAGTCTTGACATTTAGAATTCAAACTTATTGAGAAATTAGTCCTTGACATTTAGATCCAAACTTATTGAGAAAAACAAACACATAAAGAGATAATTACAATACACTGTGTTAAGCATAAGAGTGGAGATCGGTCCCTCCTACGGGAACCTGTTAGTTACTAAGAAGCAACCAACCCTCTGGAGAAATTAGGAAAGGTATAAATGAAGCGAGGACTATACATGGCATATTGAAGTCTGAGTAAGAAATGACCACATGGGAGGGAGGAAAGCAAGAAAAGTAAAGACCAGGAATTACAACAGACTTTTCTACAAGGGAAAAAGTTTATTTCCAAGTGACCAAAATGGGTGAGATTTTCCTCTTAATAAGAAAAATTTCCCATGCAGGGCTGATTAATTCTGGCTAATCTGCTAAAACAGCTTCTGCATTTGCAAAAATCTGAAACTTGTCTGTCAAGGATCTTCAGGTTAGTCAAAAACATCTAGCGTGACGGGGAACAGAAAGGATGCTACTATCCTCCTTACCACCACTGCCATCAGCACCCTCCACTTGTCAAAATGCTCTGGGGGTATTAAATAAAATGCACAGGCAGATTGATACAACGGAAATTTAAGATTTAAAAGTACTGAATTTTTGTGAGAACTTATCTGCAGCACGTACATTCAATGCTGGTCTTTATTGTGATGCAAGTCACAACTCACCCTTATTGCAAGGACTACTGTGTTTGAACTGGTCAGAATCTCATTATTTTTTTATTAATGATAGTAGTTTTCTTAACAAGGGGTTGCAGTGGTCTCTCTGAAACAGAGCTGCATACCTAATCAAAATGGCTCACACTCTGCAAAAGGAAAAAAGGCATACAAAAAGGTCCTCTTTGGCAGGGGCCCGAGAGAGAAGCCAATACTGAAGAACAGGGCAACACCGTCAACCCCTCAGGACAGTACCTCAACTCCCTAACACGCAGATTCCCTACAGGCATCAGGAAGTCACTGGGCATCACTCCAGCGAATGTACATGAATGAGTCCTGTGAAGGTTCTGAAACACTTAGCATTCGTCCCTTGAGAAAATATGGATAGGCAGCTGGTGTCACATAGGGTATTTATTAAACCCATTTCTAATTGACCAGATGGTATTACTATTGCCAAAAGCAGATGACCCAGTGATTCAATAGCAGATAAGATAAATAGGTTTTTCTCTTTCCTTCTAACTGCTCCTGGGTTTCTGTTTTTGAGAGTAATATAAACAAAGACAAACAATTTAAACAATATTTTCTGTGGCATTAGAAACTACTTAAGAAAAGTGGTCTAAGAAACAAATGACAAGGTGGCAATCCACTACTTAAAAAAATGAAGAAAAATTGCCAGAAAACATTTTAAGTTTAAAGCTTTGCCAATGGCAAATGCCCTTCAGGAGTAATTTAGTTGAAGAATATGGATCGCTTGCTGAATTTCATCCTTCTTATTTATTACTAGGCAAACCACAACTTCCTCTTAATTTGGGACAGTGTTGCACTCAGAGCTTTGAGGGATTTTTCTTAATATAGAATGAGGTGGGTCTCGTCTGAACACATCCCACCTCTCTCTGTCACGGACCCTCAGAATGACAGCATGAAAGAAAGTCTACCTGTCTTAAAGTAAGGTGATGCTTTGACCTCTTCTGAATTGATCCTCTTGAATATAATAGAAATGATCAGGTCTTTTGTTTGCACTTTGATCTTCATATTTTTGAGACATGAGAAAAAAATGCCATTTTTAAAGAAGTAAATAGCTTTTCTCATTCCCTAGATATTCGGGATTTGATTCACCTCTAAGAGAAGATTGGATCTTTGTTTTAGGGCAAGACAATTCAACACATAATTTGGCAAAGAAAAATAAGCAAAGAACCCATAACGGCATGGAAAGGTGTGAGATATTGAGGTGCTTACGTGCTCCTCATGAAATGCCAATGGCTATGCACTCATTGGTGATATGACAAATATCCAGAATGTGTATATTCTTTAGGATGTTGTTTTTCCTTTCTGAGACCCTGAGAAGTTGGGCCTGAACTTCAAGAAGAACTGGCAGGACCTCTTCAAGGCATTCTAATTGAGGGAGGTAGACTATTGCTACAGCACGGTAGAAAGTCAGAAACGAAGACAACAAATGACCAGTACGAGTCTTCCTGTGGAAAGTCTTGGTGTATGAGTCTGGGAACTATCATATAGTAGAGTAGCTAGTTTTAATTTATTTTTCTTCATTGTTGCTCCAGTTACTATGACCACATAACAAATTACCCCCAAAGCTTAGTGGCAAGAAACAATCACTTATTTTGTTCATGGTTTTACAGGACAGGAATTCAAACAGAGCACAACAGAGACGACTTATCTATGCTGATGTCTTGGGTATCAGGTGGAAGACTCAAAGACAGGGAACTGAAATCTAATGGCTAGTCAGGCATTTGATGTCTGCTGTTGGCGCTCAGCCTCTCCTCTCTAAATGGGCCTCTCCATGAAGTCTCTCCACTTGGTAGATTCAAGGTCACCAGAGTTCTTTCGCAGCAGTTCATGACTCCAAGGGCACATGCCTTGAGAGATAGAGATAAAGAGAGACAGAGAGAGAGAAAGACCGTATTATCCTCTATGACAATTTCCGAAGTCACATAGCATCACTTCTACCCCATTCTAATATGATAGAAGTAATTCACAAAGAAGGACACATATTCAAGGGGAAGAAACATAATGGACCCCACCTCTTGAAGGAAGAGGTTGTCAACAACACTATAGTGGACACACACTAAGGTGACCCCAATGAGACATATGCATGTATAATTCCCTTCCTTTAAATGAGAAACTTACGATTTGCTTCTAAGAAATAGAATGTGACAAAGGTGCTGAAATGTCACTCCTTTGATTAAATTATGTTATAGGGCAAAGGTGGTATTATGTGGTTCCACAGAAAGTATTGCTTAAATATATTATGAAACAATGTTTGTGTTTGCCCAAAATTCAAATGTTGAAGCCCTAATCCAAAATTTGATGGTATTTGGAGATAGGCATTTAGGAGATAATTAGGTATTCAGGTGGGGCCCTCATGATAGGATTAGTATCCTTATAAGAAGAAACACCAAAGAGCTACTCTCTCTCTGCCATGTGAGGCCACAGCAAGAAAATAATCATCTGTAAGCTAGGAAGAAAGTCCTCAGTAAGACACGACCATTCTGGTACCCTGATCTTGGATTTCCAGCCTCCAGAATTGTGAGAAAATAAATTTCTGGTGTTTAAGCTACCCAGTCTAAGGCACTTTTATTATGGCAACTCGAGCAGACTAATACATTATGTTATATGGCAAAGGTGGTGGGATGTCACTACCAGGATTATGTTATGCTACCTACATAAGACTCCATCTTAGCGGACTGGAAAAAGGTTATCCTGCTAGCCTTGAGGAAGCAAGTTGCTATCACATAAGCTGCCTATGGATAGGCCCACATGGCAAGTAAGTACAGGCAGCCTGCAGGAGTCAAAGGCCTCAGTGCTAACAGTTGTAAGGTATTGTGAAAATACCTGACCGAGCCAGGAAGTGGGTCCTTTCCAACAACCTCTATCTAAGAATGCAGCCCAGTCAACAACTTGATTGTAGCCTGTTGAGACCCTCAAGTAGAAACCCAGCTAAGCCAAGCCTTGACTTTTGATCAGCAGAAACTAAGATAATAAACAAGTGTTATTTAAGCCACTGAATTTCTGGTAAATTATTACACAGAAATAGAAAACCAATACAATCACTTTGTAAGAAGAGCATGTAGGATGGTGTGGCCATTTTGGGGAATAGCGTGCCATTTTAGGAAAATATAATCTGCCATAATTGTTCATTCTTTTCTGTAATTCCTAAACCTTCAATAAACCTGTTAGACATAGCAGTTAAGGAGAGAGTGGTGGCATAAAAAAGAACCATTCTCAAGACTCCAGTAACTTGCAGAAAATGACAGGAGCAAAGGTCCACAGTCAGGCAGCTGGATGAAACAGGAAACAATATCTAGGACAGTTTTGTGCAAATGTTAGGTTCCTAAGGATTCCAGGAAATGCCTGGGGTTGGGAATCTGTTAAAATGGCAAAACTTCTGATTTTAAGTGGGTCTGAGCATCAGCCTATTGTTATTTGGGCATTCAAGGGAAATGTGATCTAGACTATTGCAAAGACTATGACTTATAGGTCACATACATGTGACATAACTAGAATAGACATATTGGAATGGACTATTCTTTATATAAGTCATGAATATCTTTCTAATTTCTTAAATTCAGTTATCTTTAGTTTCATCTTCTGTTTAGGACTTACTGACCATCTAAAATTCCAATCTCTTTCTAGTCCAATATATTTTTATATTCATCAACAATATAGACACCTACTATGTACTAAGCTAAAATTACGTAGACAAAGCCATTCGCAATGGAGAAATCAAATATGTTTATCAAGCATATGAATATTTCATGGTTCCCATTACTTTACTAAAGTAATTCTTATTGTTTTAAAACATTAAAACACTGCCTTCATAGTTTTGGTTTTTGGAAAATATAATAATATTGGTTATAATGATAACAAAAATATCTAATATTATTGAATAACTTCATGTGCCAGACACTGTGCTAAATTTATATTGATGATATCTTTTAATCCTCACAACTCTGTAAGGTAGATACTAATATTATCCCAAATTTACTGATGAAAAAATTGAGAATTAGAGAGATCACAAAAGTTGCCTGAGGAGACACAGTGAATAACAGGAATAGGATTGGTGTGATACAGACAGAATTGACAGAGATAGAATTGGAGTGTAAAGATATCCTTTCATACACAGAATCATTCAGACTAATAAGAGATCTTAAATGTCATGTAATCTCTCTGCCCTTCCGAGTATTCTTTTGCAAGTAATTTACTGAGGAAATGCTCAACTAACACAGTTGATGTGGTTTCAGAATTCTATTCTCAACCGGACCCCTGGGAAGCTCTGGTGCAGGAATTACAGCACAGAATCATCCCACCCAAGGGCAAGGGTACTGGGCTTTTCCACCCCCACATCAGACAGTAACGGGCTACACGCTGAGGGCTGGCAGAGGAAGAAAGAAGGGAAGGGTGTCACCTCCCTGGCTTCTCCAGGCAGGTGGCTCCCATCAGGTTAGGGAAATCCTTAGAGAAAGGATGCAGGCATGTGATATTCAAAGCCAACACCTGTAGCAGCCAGAAGATAAATACAAGGCCTGCTCAAGAGAATCTGGGTAGGGTTCCAACAGCATCTGAGACATCTGCCAAGTGTTTAGCCAATTCCTGCTCGGATACTTCCAGTGAGAAAGAACTTACCATCACACCCCCTTTGCCACCTAACAAGGCAGCCCATTATAGTCCTTGGACAGCTTGAATAGAAAAGTCTTCCTATTGTTGGACCTGGGGGAGTGAAAGGAGGTCACTCCAGGACAGCATATGCAGATGGCACAGAGAAGAAAAGAGCATAATGGTATGTGTGGTTGCCATAGCTAATTCTAAGATGATTATAGTTAGAACTTAAGGTGTGGAAGTGGAAAGGGAAAAAGATGAGTCTAGGAAGATGGTTACAGGCCAGAGAGCCATGTAATAAGAGATCCACATGCCTCATCGACGACTTGTGATGATGTTTTAAGATACCATTCAAGGTAGGTATCAGAAAAGGGAAATGATCATCTCTGGTAGAAAGCCCATTCTGGCAGCAATGCAGAGAGCAACTCTCGCTCATTGCATTGTTATGGGCTGTCATATCTGTTTCTTCTGGACTGTCAGTTCTTCAAGAACAGGAATCTTGCCTTATTTGGCCTAGCACTGTAAATGCCTACGAAAATATATTTTTATGGAACTGAAATGAACTGATCATAAGAAAGAGAAGTCATTAGAACAACACAGATGAGAGACGTTACAGGTCTAAATAAGGAGTTAGCAAACCATATATGCGTATAGCCCAGAGGTAGAATCTGGCCCCCACCACTTTTTGTAAATCAAGTTCTATTGGAACACAGCCACACCATTTGTTTACATGCTGTCTATGGCTGTACTCAGGCTATAACAGCAGAACTGACTAATCGCAACAGAGTCCTGTGGCCTACAAAACCTAAAATGTTTACATGTCTGGCCCTTTACAGAAAAGGTTTGCTGACCCCTGGAACAAACTGAAGTAACAGTCATATAAATAAACAGGTGAGATGGATGCAAATGATATTTAGGAGGCAAAATCAACTGGAGTAGCCACTACTGATTGCTCCTAGCACTATTTCTTGGTATTATGTACACATTAGAGGCCCACATTACACATTGGTATAAAAAGCTTGCAGTGTCTCTATGTATCTTCTTACAGCTCCTATTTACTCTGTCAAATTTAAATTGAACTATCATTTCCATAAAGATCCTTCCACTCTAAAGAACACTCAATGGAGTCCACTCACCTTAAAAGCTGACAGATCCAAAGCAGAAGCAGGATCCCATTTGGTCCACTTAGACTAAGCTAGTTCTACAGCAATGGGACAGTATCAGTCAGTCTTCGGGTCCCTTATATAAACATAAAAGGCTCCCAACCTCTAACTTATTACCATGTTCTTGTTTTCGCTGCAGGTCCTCAGAGATGGCCTGAATCTTTTTCACCTCATTAAGTTGCTCTGCACCCGAGTCCTCTAAAAACTTGTCATCTGAAAAGTCCCCATAAGGCCGGAAATTTCTTTTCTGTTCTCTATGTGGTCAGAACATAAAAGGTTGCAATTCAAAGAAAAAGTGAAGAACTGTCCTGGTCCTTTTTGCCAGGTGTTAATCTCTGAACAGTGGATTTAGGGTGACTTTTTTTTTTTTTCAGTTCCTGCCTCTCTGCTTCTTGTTTGAATACACACTACAAAGTGTCAGAGAAATGTATTTATAGGACACAGTGAGCCAGTTGCTGAGCCTTTTGTATCAGGATTTGAAAGATAATGGCAAGCTCCTTTCTTTTAAACAAAAATTTAAAAAGTCATCTGCAGCCATAGAAACATCTAATCTTAGTCATAGCACCAACACGCCCAGATGGGCAAAAAAAGACATTTTAGATTAAAAGTTACATACAAAAAAAATGGATTTTTAAACATCACACCTGAATACCAAACCAGTAAGGAAAGCTTCTCCTACTTTCAATGAAATAAATTTAAGGAAAACAAAATAACAAATGATTTACTGGTACTTTTACATTTGAAAATTATTTGCCTCACATACTTAGTTGTTATCATTATTTGGAAGAAAGTAACGTTTAGTCCTACCAAAATATTTGTCAAATTAACCAAAGATTTAAAGGTGAAGGCAAACACAAAAATATAGAGCTAAAAGAAAATGTAAGTAAATATCTCCATAATTTCAGAGTGGATAAGGATTCTTTAAGAATAGAAGTAAAAGAAGAATCTGAAAGACAAAGTGATAGATTTCAATATATAAAAATGTTAAGACCTCTGGATAACTTCAAACAGAACATTCGAAAATTTAAAAATCCAGAGGTAGGTTTGCCTTCAGGTGTAGTTCATCAGTGATCAAGCTCCACTTCCCTCTAATTCAG